GGGTAGTAGTTATAAATTATAATTAGCAAAATGTAACAAAGGAGTTTAATAAAGGGTGCAGAGGCCCTTCTTCTATTCTCAGTGCAATAACCTAAAGAACTCCAGGGAAAAAATAATATTAACCCTTGCAGTGGGGCTACCACCACACTGCAAGGGTTAACTGCTTGTTTTCATCTAAGGACTAAAATAAAAAAGTTATACTCGCCCGAAACGAGTCCCAGTTGGCTGGGAAGCCGGCTCCATGTTACCTTGCGGCACTGCCGGTCAGAGGAAGTCTCCCTCTGACCGCAAGTTCCGGTATCCGTAAGGTATCGGAGCATTTGGGCGACTACTCCTACACGCCCAAATGCTGGGTATTGGCACAGATACCGATACTAATATTGGTATCGGTGCATCCCTACACCACACTAAGGCAGGATTTTGTAACCACAGAAGCCATTTTTTAGCTGCAAAGCCAGATAACAACAATGTGACCCAATAATATAAACAATGGGTATAAACAATACATAACTGGAATTATGATCAAAGTCTTTGAAGGTCATCTTCAAGTCCACCCAACTAGTATCTGCACACTAGGGCCCTACGCGCATGACACCACCTCAGGGACATTACCATCACAACTGCAGATGCCAACGAATAATAACTCAACCACAGGGATGCCATACCTGAAATGGTTCCCCAAGGTTAATTGACCTTTAATTGTGGAGGCTGTCCTTTGAAAGACCCCAATACTTAGCTGCAGTGACAATGGAGATCAAAATAAAACAATATATTGTAGGTGCAATAGATAGCGCATGAAGAGGAATCTAAACATGGCTGGGGGAGGGGGAGGTGCTCCACCAAGGTTGCTAACTCTGACAGAAGCTGGAACCTTCGCTCTCCATTGGACCCTCCTGCAGGTCCTCTTCATCCCATTAACTTCAGGTCCCTTACCTCTAGAAAACTTTCCCTTACCATTTACCTCTCCAAACCCAGTCATGTAGTCCACCCAAAGACGCCTCTGTTTATTGCTCCAGGCCTGACTTGTGTGTTTTCTGACACTATGAAAGCTTAGTAAATGGGACACTGCTGACTATGGTACAATTAGGTAGTTTTTTTAGTCTTTAAACCAAAAATAAAATGTGGCACCTGTGCAGTGAGAACATCGTAGCTCTGCCAATGGCTAGCTTTTAGTGACCTAGATTTGTATGGCTGATCCTAATAACTCATGACTTTCTCTGCATTTTGTAGGTGCTGACCCACCTCCGTATAACATCACACATAGGAATCGGGCTGCTCATAGGATTACTCTACCTTGGAATTGGAAATGAGGCGAAAAAAGTTCTGAGCAACTCGGGTTTTCTCTTCTTTTCCATGCTCTTCCTGATGTTTGCCGCCCTCATGCCAACAGTCCTCACCTGTGAGTACCACTAGTGCTTTTTCCTGTGGATCAATATTCATTTACTTTGATCATCATGTGGGAACTGATGAGCACACAGTCCCAGTAATCTGGAGGGGGAAAATGCAGTGAGAAGGCCATCCCAAAGAGTAGGTGAGACTGGGATGGATGGGCATGAGTGGGAGACACACTTAAAGTGTATGTTAAGGCAAAACAGTTTTTTAGGTTTTGGATAGAGTAAGGAAGGGTTTGAGCAATCCCCTTCCTCCTTGCACCTCAAAGCCCTCTCCTCTTTTGTGAGTGTCTAAATACTGGTTGTACTGGCCCAGCTCCCATCACCTCCCTGCTTATCCTGTTATGTATTAGCAGGGGTAGGAGTGAAGGGGCACACTATAGAGTGCCACTTGAGTGTCACATTCAGGATGGGGCTCCCAGTAGAGGTCTCAGGGCTTCCAGATGTCTACACAAGGGAGGCTTTAATAGGTAAATGCATTAAATGCACATACAATGCACATACAATCTAATGGGAAGCTTGTTGCTGAAATGAATTGCCTGAGGACAGGGGCTCTTTAAGTAAATCATTTTCATTCAAAAAGACTTTGCAACACACTGTGTGGAAATTGCTGCTCTAATGACACGTATCTCAGCTTGACAAAGAGGCAAGGACCTCGAAACGCGTAGCGCTATCTGAACGCACTGAGCACCATCTCTGATCACCATCTTCACTGACGCTCAGGGAGTTCAGCCGATTCCACTACACCGCGGCCCCTTTGTCCCCAATTGCAGCCTCCCGTGCAGTCCGACTTGCTGACACCCATCCAGCGGACACTTCACACTGCTGTTGCGGCCAGGCCTGGCAAGCTCAGTCCGCACAGCCCCAGCATCTGACTATTCTTGCCAGCCAAAGACCATCCAGGCACGCACCCATCCACCCCACTGCCACTTCACCCTGTACCCTGGCTAACTCACGTTCTACACAGGGATTACAGAGGACCTTCTCCTGAGACACAGGGACACCTCAAACGTGAGTTTATCCATACAGTAGTAGCGCTCTAAAAATTATTTGTGCATTGTCTCTAATTACACATGGCATGTTTGTATGTCTCCTATTGAGCCCAATGTCTTTAATATGTAAACGCGCACGCTGGTCATACATGTAATGATACCAATTGCACCATTTTTAACCACTTGCTGCCTGAAGCAATTTCTTACTTTTGCACGCACATGATAAAACCTGAATTTGTGGCTAGAAACCCCCAAACAATTATATATTTTCTGAAAGCAGAGGCCCTGTAGCATACAAAGATGCTAATTGCAATTTTTTATGTTGCACAGTATTTGCACAAATGTTTATCAAACCAGTATTTTTAGGATAAAATACACTAAAATGAAATGTAGTGCACAGAAACAGAATATAATGTCCAATTTTTTGGAAAAATATAAAAGATGGGGTCACGCCGGGTAAATAGATACCAAACATGTCAAGCCTTAAAATTGCGTGCGTCCATGAAACCGCAAACAAATACAATAACCGAAATTTCCCATAGGCGACGCTTTACACGCTTTTACGGCTCATCAGCTAGATCCCTTGTATTTAAAAGCAATCGCTTGCTGTTTAAAACGGTACCAAGAACAAGGCGGCAGCAGCAGCCATGTTCTTGGTATAACCACTTCCAGCGGAGGACGTACATTTACGTGAACCCGCTGGCAGTGGTTAAATCAATTGCGCTGAATAGGAACTTTAATCGATTAAAAATGGAATGATCGGTCCTGAAAGGAAAAACAATCAAATTTCACAATCAAAGTTTAAAAAAAAAAAATATTGTTATGTGTATGAGCAATTAAACATCCAACAACCAAAGACTTAGGTCCTGTTATTATCATGATCATGCTGACAACAGTCCCTCTCTTTCTTCCTTTTGTTTCTAATAGTTCCACTTGAAATGGGTGTGTTTCTCAGAGAGCATCTCAACTATTGGTATAGCCTAAAGGCATACTACTTAGCCAAAACAATGGCCGACGTCCCCTTCCAGGTAAGGAAACACCCCTCAGTCCTCATAAGTAATAGTGTGCAAAAGCAAATGTGTGAATGGAGTTCTTGTAGCTAAATGTAGCCGATCATATTCTCTGTTCTAGGGGTCTAGTGCAGCATGGAGATGCAAAGGATGGATCTGGTTGGCTTTTGTGGGCAACAAGCAAAGTTCTTTTTTTACCTTCAATCACCAAATCCAGTGGTGTTGGACTGGATCCAGTAGCGTTGTGTTTAGATAAAGTGATGCTAAACTCAGGAGTTAAATCCTAAAATTGCAATCAAGTACCTTATCTATTTACAATACTGAACCTTATTTGTAGGGATGCACAGATACTTTTCGAGTACCAGTGCAGATACTTGGCATTTTCATGAGAACTACCAGGGTTGCAGCGGTTGCAGCTGGGACCTGGCTCTGGCCCTCCACCACTGTCCTGAAGTCTGTATTGTTTTAGAAAAACTGTCACATGACAATAAACAAAAATGTATCAGTACTCGTACTTGTAAGTACTCGGCAAGTACCAGTACTCGTACTCGCAAAACTGGTATCGGTGCATCCCTTTATTTATATTTATAAAAACAAAATCGTACATTAAAACCGAGATGTACAAATCCCAGGAGCTCCGTGTGCTCCTTACAAATGACAGCTGACTCCTAATTTTTGAATTTTTCTCTAGTGTAGTCCTGGAGCTCAAAAGTATCGGTGCATGTACTCGTACTTGTACCGAGTACTGTACTTGGTATCTGTGCAACCCTACTTATTTGGCTGTAGATCGTCCAATCATCTCTGAATTGGTGCTGATACTGTCCTTCCTTCTGGAGGGAGGCTACTTTTCTTCCCCATGGTCCCTGTGTGTGTTGTAAAGTAGTCACCGCTCCAAGCTCGCTCCTGTGATGGACTACAATCTCGATACAAATTAGTAAACTAAGCATGAGATTGTAGTCCATCACGGGAGCTTGCTTGAAAAGAGTTTAGTGTCGCTTTAAGTGACACCGGTCATCAATCAATCCAGAAGACCGGTACAGAGGACTTTCTGCATGAGATGAACCAGGTTGAAGGTGTATTTTTCATGTTTTATACAAAACTTGAGTTCTTAATCAGTTGTATGAGTATGTCTTTGAAGGTTTATCAAGGTCAGGGTATAGTTGGTAATAGTTGGTCAAACTCAACTGGACTTGTTCTGCAATGTTAAAGGTGTTTTGTAGCTGAGCTCCAGTGAGTGTCAGAACTATACACCCAACATTTATGTCCACACAGATAGCACAGACATCGTGGTCCAATCACCATGTACTATGTCAAGACATTTGCTTACCATGCATGGTCAATCCATTATCTGATTGCAGAAGAATAATGGGCATTACACCAGAATTTGTATCCATGTAAGGTTACCTATAGTAGCGGAAAGATATGGAGAAATCTCTCACCATCAATCTCCCAACCATCAAGCACATGTGAATAAACATTTAATTAACACTTCCAATGCAGTAAAGTCATCTGCCGTTTTCATTGGTAACATTGCTCCAGCTCACAGTGAAACAGAGAACCAGCAAGTGCAGATACCCTGATATTGTGTGCGCTTGGCAGTGCACATATTAACATCATCACGTCTTGCTACTCCTTTGCAGATCATGTTCCCGGTAGCGTACTGCAGCATTGTGTACTGGATGACGTCACAGCCTTCAGACGCAGTGCGGTTTGTTTTGTTTTCTGCCCTTGGTACAATGACGTCGCTGGTGGCTCAATCTTTGGGCCTCCTCATAGGTGCCGCATCCACTTCACTGCAGGTAAGTTCATTTTACTTAAAGTGTATGTATAACCAAAATGTTTTTTTTAGCTTTGGGTAGAGTAAAGAAGTGTTAAAACCTCTGTCAGGTTATTTTTTGCTGTCTGTGTACCATTGGGGAAATTTCCATTCACTTAGAGGAAATCTCCAAAAGTGAGTTGAATTCCCCTCTTAGACTGTTGTCCCTGGAACAGGTGTCACCATTGGAAAATTTCCCCTCAACTCTTGTTCTAGGGACGACTCCAAAATGTTGGTTTTCCCTTTGCTTTCTTTCTAGATGACAATGGTCACCGGTACAAATGGAAGTGTGACTCTTTCCAATTGGGACAAAGCCATCATAGAAAACCGAGACAGAGGATCTATCTCTCCCACTCTCTATTCAAAGATTGATACAAAAAAGTTTTGCTTAGAGATCCACTTTAAAGTGGAACTATTTCTCATTTCGGGATAGCTGGTAGAGCCATTCCTAATCATTAATGTATTCCCCATTGCCAACTGTACACCCAGAACCACTGGGTTGCAGTGCAGTCACAGCCCCACTGGTTCTGAATGTACAGTTGGCCACAGGGGAAGTGCCTCTATTATGAGGATTCCTGAGGCTGTTGCCCCAAGCAGCATCTCTTTGGGTCACCTGGGGGGGGGGGGGGGGGGGGG